GCATCTATGAACGTTTTGGGAAACAGGACAGGGCTGAGAGTCAGGTAGTCCTCAACTTATGACCACAATTCAGCCCAACATTTTTGAATGACTTTCGCCCCATTTTACGACCTTTCCTGTTACCGTTGCTAATTGAATCACCCCAGTTGTTAAGTCAGTAGCACGGTTGTTTAAGTGAATTCTGGCTTCCCCCTTTGACTTCACTTGCCAGAAGGTCGCAAAAGGGGATCCCTTAACTCTGGAAACACTGCAACCGTCATAAATATGAGTCGGTTGCCAAATCTCTGTATTTTGATCACATCGCTATGGGGATGTTGTAAGGTTTATAAGCGTGAACCGCCATAAATCACTTTTTCCAATGCAACTTTAAACAGTCACTAAATGAATGGTTATAAGTCAAGGATTCCATGTATGATCAAGAACTGCTTTAACGTTGGATTTTAGCCTCGGATAATTTTAGCCCCAGTTAAAAAAGATGCTCCTTTAATTCTATGCGCACAAAAGCTGTACAGCCAAAATGCCTTTGAACACACAGGTGGCCCTTGTTGGCAACTCTTTGAAGCTAAATGCATCATTTTCGGGAAGATGCAGAAGGCCACAGCGCAATCTGTGCTGCCTAATTTCTCAAGGTCACACCTGTGTATCTAATGTATGTTAAATGCTGCTTTATTTTCCTGCATCGGCAGAAATGACAGAGCTATTTTCTGACACTATCGCACCCTTTTATTTAAAAATAAATGAAGTGCAACTAAATACAGACTCAATATCTATAGTTCTGGGAACAAACATGCTATTCTAAGTCCCAAAGGTGTTTTTTTTTTCAAGAAGCAACTGGACTTCCTGGCTTTTCTTTGAAGACGTTTTGCTTCTCATCCAAGAAGCTTCTTCAGCTCTGACTGGATGGTGGGGAATGGAAGGATTTATATTCCTTGCAGACAGCTGGCCATTGCAACCTTTTAGCAGGTCGGTTTTGCAAAAGACCAGCTGTCTGCAAAGAATGTAAATCCTTCCGTTTTCCCACCATCCAGTCAGAGCTGAAGAAGCTTCTTGGATGAGAAGCAAAACTTCTTCAAAGAAAAGCCAGAAAGTCCAGTTGCCTCTTGAAAATAAGCTCCGTTGGGACAACCATGACCTGCATGACTGAGAATCTCCATAAACATGCTGTTCTAAGCACACTGATGCAGTACAGAATTGAAGTGGTATAAAAATTGTATTATCTTAGCAGATGAAGTAGTGGTTGAACGAGATAAAGGGCTCCAAATCCATTTCTCCCCATTCCCTTCTGCAAAAAATAGCAATAGCAATAGCAGTTAGACTTATATACCGCTTCATAGGGCTTTCAGCCCTCTCTAAGCGGTTTACAGA